TAAACGAATTTTTTGATTTGAAATGCGATGAAAATGTAACACTAATCAATAAACAAATGACTACTTTTGGAAAAAGATCCAATGTTTTTAAAACAAAATTAATTAGCCTTAGCCTAACAAAAACTATTTTGATTTGAAATGGCCAGTACTGCAGAACGGCAATTTCATAGGTAAAGACCTATTATTTTGAGAAAAAAATAGGTTGTATCTTTATAGGGCCCGGTATGAATCTGTGAGTTTTGAGCATACATTCTTGAGTGCATTTTGACTGCACGCTTGCAATATGGATCTTTGTGTGTTTGGTAAATAGAATTCAAGAATTCAAACAATTATTTCTACATTCCACTAACTGTTGTTCCGGGTCTCGGCAAATTGAAATTTTAAGTAGAGTAAAATGCTTTTTTTAACAAAATAGTATGACTTAAATCTGCTACTAGCCAGTCACATATGAAAAGCCATATTTTATCGATCATCGGTGATCAAAGTGTTATTCTCTGACTTCTGCCAAGCATGGCGATTATATAGAGAACATTCTGGCTGATGGTGAAGTTCATCTGGACCCTACCCTATTCCAGTTGATCAGAATCATGAGCGTGATGCTTAAAGATGATTTCGTCATTGTTTTGCATGATTTATTTTCTGTTAGTTACAAAGCACGAGGGTTTGAGTCGAGAAATGATCAGTATTTAGGTTAAAGTACATCGTACAAGCTAAACGCATTCACCTAATTCTTATTGAAATATTTAAAGAAATACAGTGGCACTCGCACTTGTAGTAGTTGCCTCAACATTCTTATGTAAAACACTTGTGAATGAAGTACTCCACGCAAGAGTTAATGTACTCAAAACAAATCAACTGATTACTCGAGAATTAATTAAAGGTGCTAGTGTTTGTAAGAACGTTGAAGATTATGCAATGTGGTTAACGGGATTTTTGTTACAAACACATACATACGTCTTTGTACTTTAGGTGTGGTCAAAAATGTATTGACTGATGCTATGATAGCCAGCCTGCTGTGGTGGCGCTGTTCACGATATCATATCACATCATCAGCCTATAAGCGCCAATAACTAAGCAAAGGCCTCTTCTCACACGGAGAAGGTTTGAGCGTTAATCACCACGCTTGCTCACAGCGGATTGGCGATTTCAAACTTATGATTAGACATTTTAGTTCAGGTTATTTCACGATATGTTCCTTCACCGAATGCCAGTGGAGTCTTAATAATTATAGAAAAGTACCTCTTACTCGGGAAAATCACAATGGTAGTTGCCAGGTTACGAATGGCCGCATCCTCATGTATGAGAAGGCGCCTGAGCCTGAGAAGTTTGATAAGAAATAAATATGGTTCAGGAAAGAAAAGAGGTTGGAAACCAGACAAACATTAATTGACCTTTGTCGAGCGAAGAGTATGAAACAAACAGGGATTAACGTCAGAGCCTAGAGGCCATCCAAACACGAAAACAACAAAGAACTTTAAACAAAGACACATAAACGTGGAAAGCAAAATGTTGCAACAATAAAACGGCTTTATAAATACAAACAATTGTATGAAAACTTTTAATGAATTTTCTCTTGAAATAATCAGTTCAATACCTACACAATATAATGAGTTCAATAAACTCTGCACCCTGGCGCCACTCCAGCTTTTTATATTCCTTTCCAGGTCTAAGATACATTAATTCATATTTGTAAATAGAATTAAAATGAAGCTAAAATAATAAACGATAGTTAATAATACCCATTATTAACTATTGTTTATTATTTTAGCTCTTTATTCTTATTTTTCTTGTATTCTTTCGATGGATCTGAGACCCATCGAAGCTGTCGTGCTTGGTAAGTAGCAACGTACTGTTCAGGCCATCAGCTATTTCTTTAATCAAATATACTAAGAACTTTTTATAGGTATAACATGAGATAAGTAGGTATCTTTGCATACCTATCCTTGCAGTTTTAGATAAAATTGTTTACTTGTAACACATTTTCTTTTAAAAGAGTCACATTTTTATAGACCCACAACAAATACCTATTTCTGCACTGGATCCACTGGATCCACAAACCACGACACCTATTCATGTCTTTAATTAGGAGGAAAACATTTATATTTAAACTTATTTTAAACTGTTGGTTATTTCCGAAGTACCTACCTACCCATATCTACCAGAAAGTATAAAAAAATAACTATTATAAATAAGTCTTTTTATGTAAGTAGGTCTGTACACAGAGGTGAAAATCGTGGAGATCTGCTTTAATAAAATTCACAGAGGGTCATGATTTAGGTAAGCCAGCTCGGGAAACAGCTCCATCTATCGATCATCAGGCGTAATATTTTTTTTTTAGAAAACAAAATAGTGGTGGTTTCTTGCCGTGTTTCTTTAATTTCTGTCTAAATATTAAAATAAGTACAAAGACTCAAGAACTTGGTATGCTTGTCTATATCTATACTTCTATACTAATAGTATAAAGAGGTAAAATCTTTGCAATCGCTGGTCGGATTGCCAAAATTCTTTCACTGATAGATAGCTACAATGTTTCTGAGTGCTATAGGCGATAAAACATCACGCTAAGATCAAGTGGAGCTGAGCAGCTGGTGAAACCGCGAGATTAGCTAGTAATTAATAACTGTATAATATGATAGGTAATAGGGATTGTTTTAGTGTTTCTTTCCGTAGGTCATATTATAAGGAACCTATTTTTTATTTGATTCGATGCAATGCTGTTAATAACTTCTGTACAATTTAATGCACGCAATCTCACAGACTTATATGTATGCAATGACGTATTATATATAGACACGTCATGAACCAACATCGCGGCGCTTAAAAACGGCGAAAATACTAGATAACTACTTCTACTAGTAAAGAAAGGGAAAGAAAATATGACATCGTATAGTGGAATGCCTTTGCTAGAGGGAGATAAATATACATCTTCAGTTACATCACAGGATAGGTAATAGTAAAACTACATTTTCATAAGATGGCCGCCATAAGATGGCGGGCGCCGGCGTCGAAAAAAATAAAATAAAAATAGGTTGTTTGGTGAACTTACGCATGAAATGACACATTTTTGTCTTTAACTTTTGGAGTATAATTTGTACATCGTCTGAACACACACGACGGCATGCTTTACTTATGTTTCGCACAGGTTTACACACACGATATAAATTAAAAACAAACGTAGCGTCGCGCGGCAGGTTGGTGCGTAACTAAGCGCGATGTTGTCAATTGCCTTCATTTCATGTTGTCATTTTAGAGCGCGGGCAACGTATCTATAGATTTATACATCATTGTATGTATGTATGTATGTTTCCTCTCCAAAGATGCTATTATTTTTTTCTTTAAAACTTGTCCCAAATTAGGATTCTCTAGGTACTTTGTGGTGGGTGCGTATATAATTTACATACACATATAATATCACAAACATATCACACCCAGACCGGGAACAACAATTTGTGGATCACACAAACAATTGTTTCGTGCGGGAATCGAACCCGTTATTGTACATATAAAACTTCCTCTTCAATCACTTTATCTTTAAAAAAACCGCAGCAAAGCTTTAAAGATTGAAGTATACATAAGGGCAAAGAAAGCGACTTTGTTTTATACACAATACTTACTATACTACTACGGTACTTAGAAAATTTGACGAAGTCATTATTTCTTTTTTTTTTCTGCAAATGACCGATTTACATTATTTTATTATTATCGTACTTGTATTATTATTATCGTGTAAACAGTTGTTGGTGAGCCAAATAAATAAAATAAAATAAAATAAAAATAAAAATATTTAACTGCGAAAATTAATGTGTGTGTGGATTAATGTTTGTTACTTTTTGACTTAAAAACTACTGAACGGAACTGAATTAAATTTGACACAGAAACAGATCATAAGTCTGGAATAGGCTAGGTACTTTTTGCCTGAGTACCTACCTACTGCGGATAAAGTAGCAGAAACTAATTTACTATTAATATGAAAAGTTTATCAATACAAACCTATACAAATTGTTATAATACGGGATCAATATGCAATACTTATTAATTTTTGAATACATTTCAAAATCTAGTTACATTGGGGAGTGTTCGCTAAACTATTAGTCTATAGACCAACTCCGAAGGTTGTTACACCGGTCTTCAAAGCTTCTAAAACTGGTCTATTGGCTCTAATATCACGGCCAGCTACAAAGAGAGTGGGTCGAGTGTTAAGGCCACGCTTGGACAAGTTCACTGCCACACTTTGGTAAGAGCTCGCGTCTGATGCAATATTCACGAGCTGTTGGCGGTAGGAGTCTGCCCACTTACATATCGCAGTGCACGTAATAGAGATATACCTACCTGCACTTTTACTTGCGGTAAAACTATTATTAAATGTTCTTTCTCAACAGTTTCTAAAATTGATTTTTAAGACATTTTCACAACATTTATTGGTTTTTTTCGTCCATTTCGAACTTACAAACGAATTTTACATTTTTAACAATAGGTTCCAGGCTTTAAGTATCAAGGTAGTATTCTAGTGGATTTATGTTTAATCGATTTGTCGGTCGGATCTATACTAAAACGGTCGTAAAATAAAGCCCACCAAACAATTACTAACAATAGGAATGAAATGGACCTGATGGAAGCAATCTATGTCCTAGATCATTTAATAACTGGGTCCGAGACCAATAAGGCCGCTCGTTTAAATTAACAGGATAGTAGGATCTAATTACTACTATTAATTACAATTTAAAGTTGACTGAATATATCAGTGAAAAACATAAAGTTCATAAAAAATAGACGTAACGATCCTCTTCATAGTAGGTACGTATGATTTAATATTGCTGAAACAACATGGCAATCATAGTCGAGAAAAGCAAAAATGAAAAAGAAATAACTTCTCACAAAATGTAAAATATATTTTTGATTCTTTATAGTTGACATTATTTTGGTATAGCTTAATACAAAAGTTAAAACTAGATAAATATGTTTGCGATAAAAAAAAACAAGTACAATATTTGAGAGCAGAGTCAGTAGGGGCAGCATCTGGGTCTTTTAAGTTTGCGTTTCCTGGGCATGATCATGCCGCCTCGGCACATCCTGCAAGGGAGACAGCAAGGCATGTCTTCCTCTTCACATTGGATCTGCATGCAGTGGTGGGTCTTTGGCTGCGGTTTGGCTGGTGCACGAGGCGTCACTAGCTCCACCTTTCAGAAAATAAAAGATATTAGTATCAATCAGAAGCGTTGTATACTAAAAGAACCATATTTCTAAATAACAATATTGCATACTTAGTTCAACTAGCGATTTCGCTCGCGTTTCTTTGATGAAAACTAGGATTTGTCTTATTTTACCAAAATCCATTCTCTCATTTTTACGTTAAAGAATAACAAAAAAACAAACATCCATCCAAACTTACGTACTTTTGCGTTTATAATTTAAGCAAGCATATGTGAGACAGATACATCCTTGCTGCAAAACTACAATCGTCTCCTGTTGCCAAGGCCAAATTACGTTACATCAGCCACATTGTGGTATACAGTTTTGGGCAGAATATGCATACCAATCATTGGGGAACAGGGATCAGTAATTGGAAACGCTGACAGGCACAACCAGTTTGACAGCATGACGGTAAATTACAGATTGGAAACGTCACAAAAAACTTACAAATTTTGAAAAATAAAGTGCCTGGGAACATGGTGGAGACGTATATATTGCATTGCCAAATGCCTTTAAACCGACTATAGTAACGCTGGCATGAATAGAACTACTTAGAAGAGTTGTAGGTATCTAGTTGAAAAATACTAATTTAGAAACATCGTTTGTTGCATGTAATAATATAATTATTTAAATAATTTTAGCTAGTGTAGTTGTGTGCGCACGAGCTTCCTTAAATTAACGCTAATGCTAATTTGAAAGTTAGGAAGAAATAATTGTAACCTCAATGTTTCCCGTACGGTTTGGTTCATCAGTTTGCTTTCCAATCTTTAGTATGAACACATCTTTATCTGGATGTAGAACTTTCTGCGCTTGCACGCCTTTAGGAGCGTCTTTTGGCGTCACATTACAGATATTGCACATCGTGTCGTTGCCATGGTGCTTCGAGTAAACGAGTTCTGAATTCAGATTCGTCCTGTGTGTGAGAGACTCGCAAATATCGTCAGGAACCTGTAATTTAGAAAAGAAGTCGGCATCAAGGTGTTGCCAATTGCCTGCGCGGGCAAAACGAACTTTTTCTATTTTTGCAATCCATAATAGCAGACCAGGTGCTTTTCATCATCATCAGCCGAAAGAGATTCACTGCTAAACAATAAAAGGCCACCAGCTAATTCTTTAAATCTATTGGTTTCCCGCGGCTCCGACATTATCGCAACCTAGCAACTGCCTACTCCCAGTTAGGAAAAAAAGATAAAACTCTCCTCCCATGTACAGTAAATAAGCTTACTACTTTATAAAGAAAATAACTAAATCAAAACAAGTATAATGTCATGTATGATAAGTATGCTGAAAGTCAATGATTAGTTGAAATCTATTAGACTCTAAGCAGTATTTGCGTCCAGGTGGTATTTGCGCAATTTGAATTAATTAACTTACTTATGCTCAATAGTGCTTAGTTTTAAAAATATCAAGATCGTCTTACTTGGAAATCCAACCTGTGCCCTGGGCATTGGTCGTCCCCATCACGCACCATTCCGCAGGTTTCCGAGCAGACGGACTCATCATCTTCACAAGTGCAGCTCTGTTGTAACTTTAACTGGGATGGAGTAAGCTTTGGTGGTTTTGATGTACTTTTTGGCACACGTATTTTTACCTGGCAGAAATAAGTTGTTTGTATTTTCTTTTGAGATTACTTGAGAACAAACTAACTACATGACACCTCAATTAATTTTCTATAGGTTTCATTCAGTTTTAGTTTGTCTTAAACACTACGGATTATGCACAGTTGGACCCAGTTGAACAGGGGATTTATGGATAACCGTCAAACGGCTGACTTACTTCATTTCCATTAAATATGGCACTAATTTCTTCATAGGGTTTTTTTGCCTTTGGTGGCGGCGGAACCGCAACATTAGTTGCCATAATTGATGGTGCAATATTATTTAATATATCAACGAAAATTTGGAACCAGTTCAACTCATCGGGATTTTTTTAAGATCACTCAAAGGTCTAATTTTGAAAGCTGTCAATTTTTTTCTTCTTTTCTTCTTGGTACAGTTTGACCAATCAAATGTCAAATAGGTACTTTACGATTTGGTTTTTTCTGAGATGACCTTGCAGCATTTGGTGTGCTTTGGGGGTTCTTCACCCTCCCTCCCCCCAAAACAAAAACAAGTAATGAGTAGGTAAACTTTTAAAAAACTATTGCCCCGACACGCATTCTAATTATGAATCTAACTTGTAACTAAATAGCTTTGTGAATCAGTATTTAATTTTAAATATTCTTTTCAAAACTGTATTACTTTTATTTACAATTTATCGAAACCATTTAGAAAATGTAAAACCAAAAACTGTACTGATAGGTACCCTTCCATATCTACCCTATATTTTTTTAAGGATTACGGCCTCATTGTAAAAGCTGGTACTTTTAACTTATATGCTTTTTTGTAAGGGGAAAATCATCAAATTACTTCTCTCGGAGTTTCTCACTCTCAGGGAGTATCAGACTCTTGCTGACTAAAAACGCCCCGTTCTTGCTTCTAAGCCTAGTCCGCGGTACCTTACTTCGCTTGCCCCGCAACACCGGCTTCTACTAATATTCTTACGGTGCTAAAATTAATATTGCTCGTAAATGGACAGAACCAGTTATGAACAAGGAAGCTACATTTTAGAACAAAAAAATGAAAGAATTATAAACCTAATTTTAGATTGACCTTTCTTTATTGGAACGAGTTCAACATAAATTATTAAGTGATTGACCGTGAGATGTGGACACTTTCGATGTCATCTCATTCATAGCTGAGACTCATAAAAGAAATTTTATAGTAGTACCAACAAACTTGCTCTTACAACTAAACTTATTCCAGCTGTGGCAGAAATTAGAACTACCTATCTATACTTGTATACTAATATTATAAATACGAAAGTAACTCTGCCTGTCTTTGTCATTTCTTCGCGCCAAAACCACTGAACCGATTCCTGTGAAATTTGGTACAGATATAGTTTGGAACTCGAGAAAGGATAGGTTTTATACCAAAAAAGCCTATAATAATATAAAATATCTACAATAGTCATTGCTCTACCAACAGACACAAACGTAAACACAAAAGTTTACATCCATATCATACACACTCGTATACGCTATAAGCCCAAGCAAAAAGCCCAAGAAGTGTAACTGATATAAAATATCAATACTATACTCTACTAAATATTAATACTATAAAATACAAGTACGGATAAATGTGGGGCAGCCATGCTTCGGCACGAATGGACAAGCTCGACCGCAACAAGGCCTTATAGACGAGTGAAATGACGATTGCGCTGTGTTTTCTTCTTTAAGTGAGGGTACTGTAGACCTAGTCAATTTCCTCCTCTTCTTCAAAACCGATCTCCAATCTCTAATCCTCAAATATCTAATAACCCACAAAAGAGTGGGAACAGACCTTAACCCCTTTGGTTACCATCAGGTGATCCGTATGCTACTATATAAGTATATATACCTACTTACAAACGTAAGTAAGTATAGGACACAACTACACCTTTCCTACCAGTGCTAAGTACCTACTTGTGTCGTATTTGGAAGTTCATAGCAAAGCGAACAACGACCTTTAAAACAAAACCATTGTTTCATAAAGTATCAATGAATTCCCAGAACGATTGTGAATTTAAACGCTAAGTATTTTTGTTTATATTAAATTATTACGCCCGTCTCCTTTTGGAGTCGTTTCTCAGTAAATGGCAGTGGTTCGCTGTCAGCAACAAGATGCGTGCACATTCCAAGCCGGAGATTGAACTAAAGAATCAAATAATTGCTATTCTGTCGTTTTTTGTTGATGGTTTTTGACATCTGATAGCGTCGCTTACAAGTACCTTCACGTGATGGGAGGGATATGAAAAAGCTCGTCTCTTATCTGTGGTATTACATTGTGATGAGATATTCCTTAACATTTAATGCATTTTATCATCGAGCCTAAGAACTTGGGTAAGCTAAAAAGCAATCGATCGTCGGCCGATTGCGATGGTGCTCATAAAAAGATACATCACATCTAATTATAAGGTGGTTACAGCAAAAAATTATCTAAAATCTAGAATTAGGTTTCGAATTCGTTGTTAAGATGATTTCGTCACGCGACACCGAGAGATCCAGACAGATTACACGTTACAGATGAAAGGAACGCGGGCGCAACAGGAAATGTAGACAATAAACTTAGAGTACTTACATAGATACATAATCAGGTACCTAAACTAGATATAATACTCATAGTGACACACATTACATAAATACAGAAATACCTATACATTGAGCATCAAGGTAATATTTATTATTGGGAGAAGGTTGTTCAGATTGTTCTGATTGTTTCGCATTTTAAAACTTTAGACAAAACTGTTAATCTTAACGAAAATAACATCAATATCTCTAAAATCTAATTTTCTACGACACCCCTTGTGTAATTTAGTAATTTATCCATTTTGTCAAATAAGTAATTTACTTTTATAGTCTTTGGGAAGTTGCTACCTATCTGCTTTTCGGCTTTACCTCATTGGTAAGTAGTTCCTAAGCTAACCAAAAAAATATTCGCTATGTTTTCTACTTTCAAAAGTTAGCTAAATTTGGCACATCTTAATAGAAAAGGCTAATGTAGGTACTAATAAAAGATTATGCAGACAGCTAAGTTATTGACAAAGCATACATAGATTGAGCGTAGAACTACATGTCATAGTAACTTAAAAAAAACGTTTTAGTAATTCTGATGTGAAAGGGCACCGGCACATCCAACCCAAGTTTTTATTTGAATTCCTTAATGTTCTTTCTTCAACAATGTGGAAGTGAGAAATTTTAATACATTTTTCACCGGGGTATCATCGTCATTATCAGCCTGATATCGTCCGCTGCGGGGTATAGGCCTCCCCTAGGCTAGCACGCCGGTGAACTAGATTGTCAGCTCTTCTCATCCAACTTCTGGCATCCTGCGGATGTCGTTAGACTACGTAGCAGGCCCTACACTACGTTAAATGATTGAGAAACCGGGTTACGATGAAGGCAAATCAGTAGACTACACACTTACCAGATAAACATGAACCTTTTAACTGTGATTATCAAATCTGCGATCACGAAACGTATCTCTACGTGCACATACTCCAACGTTGACGAGGTCTTAGCTCTGCAGTCTGCAGAATGTACCTGGCTCATAATTATTAAGTTTGAGCAAAGTAAGTGTCAAATATTACACACTATTTTACACCCGCGGTTTCGCCCACGCGTGTATATTGGTAAAAATCAGCCTCTGTCCATCCAATAAGGATACCTATCTACATACAAAAATTTCAGTCAAATCCGACCATTCGGTTTCGTTTCAAAAATAACAAACGGACATCCATATCTACATTCTAACAAACTTTAGCGTGGTAGGATTGATTTTGCTTTTGATAGATCAATAAGTGATTGCGGTCATATAACGTAACAATAACATAAGTAAATGCATTAGATGCATCAGTAGCAGTCAGTTAATATGCAAAGCAATCGATGACAATTGACTACCGATCGATGCTCATCGATCGATGTCAATTGGTAAGTTATTCAACGAAATGGGTTGCGGTTTTGGATGGTCAGAAAGATTGATTGCTAGCTATTATTAGGTAAGTGAGAGCACACAATCAATGTCTTGATCAATTTGAACTTTTGCTTCATGAATTTGGATATACGTATGCAGTTATTAGTTTGATTGATGCATAGCTGCCGTTTGGGCTGCAGGTTACAGTCAAAGTTTAGAACTCTCATGAAGAATTTAAGTGATGAATACATTATGTATCCTAATTCCAATGAATTAATTCAGATTAATTATCTGTTTCGGGAATAAAGTAGAAAAGAAGTTTTCACTGAAGAACAGAACTTTTTAGTTTCTCTTCGATCGATGTCATTGTCATCTTTTTGATTGTCACTTTTATTAAAACACGTGCCTTGATGGCGTTCTCAAAATTTTGTCAAAATTTATGTGAGTTTTAAGGTATAGAAAAATGTCAGAAACTCCTAAGGCAGTACAAACTACTCCTAAACCGAAAGGTAACTGTCCTTGGCTATGTAACTTAGTTCCTACAAATCTTCCACCACCTGGACCAGCACAGACCGTTTTACATCCTCGAAAGGATGTCTTTATTTTGAAGGTAACATAATCTACTAAATATCGTTCATCTTTTATAGTTTTTACTTCACTTTTAAAATAAACAATATTATTAGTTTACTTACTCTTTTTTACTTTCTCACAAATCTTAATACAATCATCCAAGTCGTTACCCAAGTATGTATGCGATTATTTTATTCCTTAATGACATAAAACAATTTTACAATTATTATTTACTTATATCTATAATATCTATTACAGGTGGCCAAAGTAGGACCAACTGGCGATCGCCGTTGTAAAATGGAACTTGAGTTAGTGACGCCAAAGGGGCCCGAAAAGAAGCCACCATATCGAATAGACACTAGAGAAACACAGTTTGATCCAGAGCCACCACCTTGCACTTGTCCAAAGCCAAAAAAGAAGACAAAAAGTTAGAAACCTCAAAATGAAAAAAAAAAACGCAGCAACTTGATTAGATACATTAAATAACCGTACGGGACAAGTTTTGGAACAGTTTTTTTTCTGAGATTAATCCATATAAATAGACTTTTTTTATCTACTAGCGGCCCGCCCCCGCTTCGCACGGGTCCAACTATCTCGCTATCAAAGGGTCACTTCTCCCAATTTTCCACTCTACTTTTCTAACATTTTCTTTAATAAAAACCTTCTACTGGCAATAATAAATACAACAAAAAAAGAATTGCGTTCTTGAGTTATGCGCTTACCAACACATTTTGCGATCCATTTTTATATTTTTTTTTATCTATTTTGTAACGATTTATTGGTCAATTAATCTGAAATTTATTTGCTTTATTTTGGATAGGATCATACCTAACGCCCTCTGTTTTTATAATTAGTAACTAACTGAACAATACCAATCACAGATACCAATAGTACAGTTTAGTTATACTTTTGTTCGTTAGATGTCGCTATGTTCAACTCTCCGACAATTGCACGCCGTTTTGTTGGTTTTGTTTCGGTATCGTCTCTGATGGTACTAGCTATAAGTTACTACTAGTATAAATTAATATTAGTACTGGAACGTAAAGTTACACACTATAGCACAGACTACTGACTCTTTTTTGAGCAACTCAGGCCGCTTCATCCTTCACTCCAACCAACCGATATGAAAACCTTTCAGCTATGTAGGGTAAACTTGCCTAATTCGTACCACTTAAGGAGAACCTCGAAAATTTTGAAAATGAACAATGATACACAGTTATTTATATTAAGTAGTTATAATTAAACTAATGTTCTATTAGTATTCCGATAAAAAATAACATAAATCTTATAAACTTCTGAGAAATAAACAATTCAAGACCATTGGTCTTAAATCGTACCAGTATATTCTTAAATCGTACTTTGAGATCCTATCATTGTTTTACAGTCTTAAAAATCACAATCTTAATAATCTTCTACTCTTTTTAATCTTAATGCACCTAGATTACCTAATTCTTATTAAACAAGCGGATGGTCTTTTCCAAATCTTGAAAGTCATCGCAGTAATAAAATTTAGATTTTTTTAACTCGTCTTGCACATAGCTCATGTACCCATACTTCACAATTACTGCATAAAATAATGTTTTTTTTAGTTTTATTAAAATAAAAACACAAACTAAAAAATAATCAAGTAAGTAATTAATATTTACTATGATATTAAACATTGTTTTTCTAAATCGTACGAACGTACGTTTTAAGAAGTTGCTGCGAGTACGAATTAGGCACAAGTATCAAATGAATTTCAAATTAGCCGCAAAAAAAAACTGTCAACGAACAAGCCGGCTTTACCATTTGAAATATATTCACAAATATACGTATAAATATATAATAAACAGTTAAACAACTTATGAACGGTATATTTGGAAGACAGTTCTTGTGAAGTAGGTATGCAAAAAAATTACTCAAAAAGTGAGAAAAAGTGAGAAAAATCTTACCCGTTCAATATTTTTGTCGAGAGTCGAGATATAGACGAGGTACGATTTAGGCGCAGGTACGAATTAAGCAAGTTTACCTATATAGGTGCAGAGTTTAGCATACGAAATCTGGGTGGTTGATGATGATGATGATGAGAGGTGAGTATCTTACGCTTGAAGGGCTCCTTAGGCAGACTAGTAAAAACTACCCACGTACCAACCTCCACAAAACTGTACGGACCACGCAAGTGATGAGGATACCAATGATTTTTGTATCAAAATTATACCTACGGATAGTGAGGTCAGACATACTATTAAAGCTTAGTTAACTTAACGCGTAACAGGTACAATAAGATTTTCCCTTGCCCATATGCAAATTATAATCCTTTGTTAGACAACATAAATAGGTAGTTGAATGTTTCAGATTGCGTAGCAAAATTGTAATTACAACATTACCATGTAGTTTCCAGAAATCGGTGTATCTAATGTGTAGGTGCAGGAAAAAGTGTGCGTCAGAATGGCTGGTTGTCTGTGGCGTTGGTATATGAGAGTTGATTTGAAAATTGCTACATAATTGCTTATATTTGCTACATATAATAAATAATTGCTACATAGGATATATATGTAGAAATAAAATATTTTTTTTGACCAGCCATCCTGACGTTTGGTTGGCTGGTCACCTCCTAGTTTAAAGTTAAGCATGCAGAGTTTCCCGAAATGTACTGCGTCAATAATTGCTACATATTTACTTCATTTATCTAATTTAGTTGTAACTTCAAACATATGCTAAATCAAGGATATAGCAATTATTTAAATTATCCCAATGAAAAGTGCCTGATAAAATAATAAAGGCAAATACTTAGTTATGTTGGTGTCGGTTTAATCGTTTAGGCTCTGGTAAGTAATGCAATTCTTGCGTTAAAAAAATATGTACCTACCCTCAATAATCCAATAAGTATCATTATTTTAATTATTCTTAGTCATTGCTGATGCAGATATAATTTTGGAATCATAGTCTAGGCTTATTTAATTTTATTAGACAATTTAAATAGTTCTATGTCAATATAAGGAATAAGTGCCTACCTATAGAACCTATATTTAATTCGTGTTTTGGTGTTTGTGACGATGAAGAGAGGAAGAAAGTTCGTTGTGCCACTCGAAGAGCAAAAAAAGGTTTTCTTGCAATACAAAAAGTATTTTCCAAGTAAGTCAGATTTACCAGCATCTACTGATCCACTGTTTAGTGAAATTAGTACTGCCTTAGCCAATAAGATTACAAAACAGGCACTGTACCTTTCGGTGAAGAAAAATTTTGATTATTTCTTTAGACCAAATGATAATATTTGCTGTGAAGAACTTAAGCCAATTACTTTAAGTGATAATAGAATAGAAAAAAAATGCAAAGACGGCAACAACAAATCGCTTGGAAACACAGCCACTTATGATTTTTTAATTGATACGTATCAATGGGAGCGTTTGCAACCAATAACTAAACGCATAAAATTAAATAAAGGATCTGAGTCTGTTTTTAGTATGAAAAATGTTTTGCCTAAACATCAGTGGGCCCATCAATTGCGTGAAAAAATTTGGGAGGTCCATCCAATAGCACACAGTTGGACATTTAAACAGTATTCTATTTCTATGAGCAACAATATAACGTGCATCGGATCTTGTAAACAATGTGAAGCTGATGTGAAAGTTATTATTAGCTGGCCTTCGGATAAAATAGCTCAGTGCATAAACATAAACTAAACATAAACTTTTTTTTTTTTTTAAACGTTGCCCCACAGTAGGATTTTCTCCTGTGTCGTGGGTGCGTTTACAAACATACAATTCCACATACACATCACACCCAGACCCGGAACAACAATTTGTGGATCACACAAAGAGTTGTTCCGTGCGGGAATCGAACCCACGACACGTTGCGCGGCAGCCAGTTGCCCAGCCACCACGCCAACCGTGCAGTCGAAATCGTGCAAATGCATAATAACAAATTACGAAGAAAATTTCATTCATACTCCAATGAGAAAAATAAAACTATCACCTGCAAAACGAACTGAAATAGCTGAAGAACTTAAACATGTATCCGCTATTTCATATCGTAACTCAATGGCAAATAATATAGTTGTTAATTCCGATGAGCCTGAACCTACTCATTTACCAACAACAGGGTGCTTACGTCAAATAAAACACGAACATAAGAGTAGCTCACTTTTTCATCAAAACCAAATACTTTCATTATGGCTAATGACCCAAATATCGCCTTACAAAGAAGCTATCAAACATATCTCGGTGTATCCGTTTTATATTCATTATTGGGATCCTTGCCAAGATCAATATTGCAAAGAATTTAAAAAAACTGATAAATTGATTGTTAGTATAGACGCCACCGGTAGCATTTTCAAAACATTTGGCCCTATATATAATGTCACAATCACCAAACACATTTTGTTTTATGTATGTGTCATGAAAACATATGAAGGTCACAGTAGTATCCCACTTACCCAAATGGTATCAGAAAGCCAGTCTATGGACACTATATACAAATGGCTGGAAGCATGGCACGTGAGCAATCCAAAACCAGACGAAATCATCGTCGATGAGTCATCCGCGCTGATTGGTGCTTGCGTAAAAGCGTTTACGAAACATAACACTACTAAAGAATATGTTACAGAATCTTACAGAAAACTGGAGGAAGACGAAAAAAGTGAAGATTGCTACATTAGAATAGACACAAGTCATTTTGTTAAAATCATTTTCAATTTAACTTGTTTTAAACACGTCGACAACAGGGTAAAATTTTTTTATATTAAATGTCTGTTAGCGTTGAAGGAATGCGTAAATTTTGAAAAAGCCAAAGAAATTTTGACAGATATTATTACAGTTTGTTTGAATGAACACGACGGCATTAATAAATCCAATACTCCTTCTAGGTGTGAGTTGGCTAAGAATCGATTAAAGACGTTGAATCAGTTTCAGACTTTAGATACAGAGATAGAGATTCAGGACAGTGACAAAATAAATGATCTGCCTAAAGCTGTTGAAAAATCTGTGTTTGGAAATAAAACTGATACCAAATTAAGTGAAGAGAACAGATTTTTTAAATGGTTTACCAACAAAATTGGAACAGAAAAATTACTCTTTACACTAGATACTGAAGATATAGGCAATCATGACAATTTGTACTATTATCCTGCTTTTATAGGAACTTTATCACGTTTACTGAGTCTGTTTCCTTTGTGGTCAAACGTAATGAAGAATATTTATGATTCCGATATCGCGGCACCTACTTCTTCAAATGTTGAATCATACTTTAAAACTATAAAAAGATTGCTATTACATCTAAGCACCAAATCCCACAGACTACGAACAGATGAATTCATAAAAAAACATTTAGAATTCTTAAAAGGAGAGATTAAAGTTGCACCGAGAAAATCGATACTGCCAAATCATACTGTACAAAGAAATACTACTGGGGCAGATTTTTATAAGAAGGAAATTAAAAGGGATTCTATAACATTT